ACCCTGTTTTTCAAGTGTTAACGCCTTACTGTATGTACTTACTTTATACTGGTAATCATATAGGCTTAAACACGTTTAAAAAAAGAAAGGAAAGGAAAACATCTACATTTTTTAGCCCCTCCCCCACGTTATGGTTTTGATGTTGTCTTTTACATCTTCATGTTTATTCTTTTGCTGTTTTGTAGTTATCACATTTCCAATTGTGATTTTCTTTTTTCTATAGATTCTTGCTTTTCTTTTTTAGAAAAGACCTTTCAGTATTTCTTTTAGGATAGTTTTTTAGTATTGCTGTATTCTTCTAGTTTTTGCCTGTCTGAGAAATTCTTTTCTCTCTTCTCCTATTCTAAATGATCTTGCTGAGTAGAATAGCCCATATAACAGGTTTTTCTCTTTTAGGACTTTGAATATATCTTGTCACTCCCTTCTGGCCTGCAGTGTTTCAGTAGAAAAATTAGCTGATAGCCTTGTTGAGGTTCCCTTGTATCTAACTCTGTTTTTCTCTTACTGCCTTTAAAATCATCTCTTTATCTTTAATCTTGCATCTTTTTAGTAGAAAGAAAGTTCCATGAGAATAGGGCCATACTTGTTCTGTTCACTACAATACCTAAAAGTGTCTTAAAATAGCAAGGACTAAGTATTAATTTGGCAGATATTTATGAAACATCTGTGTCCAGCATTGTTCTTGGCATTGAGGATACAAAAAAGGGAAAGGAAAAGACAAATATGGTTCCTTCCTTCAAGGAGCACATGTTAGTCAGTGTTGATTTAATGTTGGGAGAATGTCTGACTCAGACTCATTGTTTCCCAGATGAAGAAATGATTGCCAGAGAGACCAAGTGACTTGAGTCAAGTCATATGAAGAATTTGAGTGGCACAGATTGTTGTTGTTTTGGTTTTTTATTCCCTCTTACACACTGCTTCTCAATACACATTTCACAAACCAAAGGTGGGTGTGTGTACTTCATTCAGTCCATGAAGGCTAGAGGATGTTGAGGCATTATGAGCTGAGTGAGAGGAGACAAGCATGCAGACAATATTTTATGTTAAAGGTTAGTCAGTACAGGCAGACAGCTTTGGTGATTTCTTGGCCATTCTCCTAAAGCTTCTGCGATTGTGACCATCGTGTCCTTTATTGTTGCTTGTGGACCCTTGGCCTACAAAATTCCTGGGGAAGTGAAAGTGCTGGTATTGATAGCAGCCATGTTGTTAGGGTTTAGTCAGGAACTGCTACCTGAGAGCTCAGTCCTGAGCCCGGAGTTGCAGGAAGGGACTAATGGATCACTTTTGAGAAAGTAGAAAGGCTTTTCAGGAGAGGACGTTTAAAAATGGCAAAGGGCATTTGAGAATAGGAATTTGTGAACAGGAAAGAAATAGCTCAGCAGAGCAGGGTGTGTATGCTAAATAGAGAAGGATGATGTGGGATAGTATGGGGGACTGGGCTGGAACTGAGTCCTTGGAAAGGCAAGAAATGGCCGTTTCAAGAAGTGGAGGGAACTAGGTCTGGATCTCAGCTGGATTTTGAATTAATCAAACTAGCTCTTTTTTTTTTTAAATTTAAGTGTAGATTTAAAATGTATTAGTTTCTGGTATACAGCTAGTGATTCAGTTATACATATATATATGTTCTTTTTCATTATAGGTTATTACAAGTTACTGAATATAGTTCCCTGTGCTATACAGTAGGACCTTGTTTATCTATTATGTATATGGTAGTTTGCTAATCCCAGACAGGCAATTTATCCCCTCCTCTCTCCCCCTTTGGTAACCATAAATTATTCTATGCCTGTCTCTATTTTGTAAATAAGATCATTTGTATCATTTTTCTTAGATTTCACATACAAGTGTTACCATATGATGTCTTTCTCTGTCTGACTTCACTTAGTATGATAATCTCTAGGTCCATCCATGTTGATGCAAATGGTATTACTTCATTCTTTTTTATGGTTGAATAATATTCCATGGAATATATATACCATATCTTCTTTTTCCAGTCATCTGTTCATGGATATTTAGGTTGCTTCCTTGTCTTGGCTGTTGTAAATAGTGCTGCTGTGAACACTGGGGTACATGTATCTATCTGAGTTGGTTTTCTCCAGACATATGCCCAGGAGTGGGATTGCTGCATCATATGGTAAGTCTGTTTTTAGTTTTTTAAGGATAAAGTAGCTCTTAAATTTAGAGCTGGGGAAGACTTCCATTGGAATCCTGCTGAGGTTCTTTTTTGCAATTTGAGGAAATGCCCTAGAAGATGGAGAAACCCTCTCCTCCAGTCATGCTTACATGATAGAAGCCAGTCTCTGGACAGGTTGTTACAAAACAGATTATGTCAGTTGCTGTATGTCAGGTTACCACACATCTCCCCAGGTGAAAATGCACCCACATCCCCCAAAAAGTTGAACTGACACGTCAGTGGAGACACACAGCATAGAGCCAACTGTCATCCTCGCCATATCCATCCAGGGAATGGCAAAGCCTGTGCATGATTCTGACTCTGCTGTCAGCGGAGGCCACACTGACTCAGATCTCACTCATTTCACACACACAGTCTGGGAGCTTCTGAGTCACTGCATCAGAAAGCACTTCAATCTAGAATAACCACCTTTTAAAAAAGCAATTTTTAATGATGTGAGTTGAAGTCCTGTGGCACTTCTCTGCTGAGGGCCATCTGCTGAGACCAGTGGTCTGCTTGTTACGGAGATGGGGAAAGAGATTATCTCTGACTTTAAATGGGGTGTGAGTTCAGGGGACGAGCTGCGGGCTGAGGCACGTGCGGGGAGGCGAAGTCAGAGAAGACTAGGCATACGACGTCTGTAAAGAAAATGTTTTATTTAAAGTGTTTAAATCCCATCACCAGAATGAATCTGAGTTTTACATTAGTTGATGTTCATTACAGGACTAATCTGCCCTTTTTTTTTTTTCCCAACTGGAATTCCCTTTGCTTTTAAAACATTATGTACAGGGCAGCAGCGGTCACTGGAATAGTGCTATTTACATGACTAAACCACAAGTCGGGGTGCAGACATGTGAAAATTAAAAAAAAAAATACACCAATTTTAAAATAAATACTGCATAATGACAAGTATGTACAAATATTCCACACAGTCCTGTCCTTCTTATTAAAATTAGAAATAATTTATATAGGAATATGCACAAAAGATTATGTGACTGCATCTTAGTATCAGGAAAATGGTAAACGTTTATTCTAAGGGAAAGTATAGACACTAGAGGTCTATTAAATCAATTGTTGCTGGTACACAAGTGTCTAAATCATTTCAATAAAGTTATTATTCTTTCAACGTTACCTGGGTCCATCGCAGGTCTCAGAATGTCAAGACACAGTCTCGGTGTATTTCGTATTGCACCACGTAAGGACAAGGCATTTTTAGTGATACTCATTTTAACTTTTGCACTATATCAAGCATGACAGTTTTTAATGGTCAGCACTGAATTTAAACAAACAGGGAAAGAAAAGCAATTTTTGTGCATGGCCTCAGCTTGAACAAACGGTATGTATCTGGATTTCAAAAGTTGTTGTAAGAAATTAAAATGAACCTATAAGAATGTGTTTTCAAAGTCTACAGAAAGAAAGTATGGGTGGTTTACTACATTAACCAGTGACTTTTCCTCTAAGAAGTCAGGAAACTTTAGAAAAATTT